ATGTAGCAGAATACATCTCGGCCTAAATTTATGAAGAACAATTATTTATTTGTAAACATTTATAACAGAAACAAAGAAAAACGTGTATGTTTTTTTTTTTTTTTCAAAATTTTTGGTCTTTTTTTGTTAATTTAGCAAAAAATAAAAACCCCAGCGGTGATTAAATACCACCAAAAGTGCCGCTTTTGCTGACGACTTGCTGTTCTATGTGAGAAACCCCAGGATGACACTGCCAAACCTAATGAAGCTATTGAAGGAATATGGAGAATTGTCAAATTTAAAGATTAATCCAACAAAAACGGAGATTCTAAATATAAATATTTCAAAAAATGAAAAAGAAAAAATACAAAAGGAATTTCCCTTTAAATGGAAAGATAGAGATATAAAATACTTAGGAGTAAATCTCACAGCTTCATATAAACACCTTTACAAATTAAACTATATTTCACTGATTAATGAGATTAGAGAGGAGCTAAAAATATTGCAAGAGGGAACCCCGACATTGATAGGTCGTATTAACCTAGTAAAAATGATAATAGTACCAAAAATCATGTATAGATATCAAATGATACCAATTAAACTCCCAGAGACCTTTTTTAAGTTAATTAAGAAACTGATAACAAAATACATATGGAGGAATAAAAAAACCAAGATTGTCATATGAGTTGTTGAGTAGGAGGAAAGAAAGAGGTGGTTTAGGGCTTCCAGACTTTAAAAGATACTACAAAGCTGTAATATGGCAAGAACTATAGATTGGACACAGAACTATAAAAAAAGTTGGGTGAGGATAGAGAATGAACTTAGTGGACAGATTTGGGTAAGGCGATATGGATACCAACACAGTATAGGGGCTTAAATGGTAATGTAAATACATACACATTGAATGTTTTTAAAAATTTGGGATAATTTTACACAAAAGTTTGAAATGGTCTTTTAATTCAACACTGATTTCACTAAAAAACACGGAGTTTTTCCCCCCTGGTAGAGAAGAAATAGGAGGTAGGTGGTTTAAAAAGGAAGAGGTTCAATTAAGAGATATTTTGGTGGGGGATAAAATAGGATCATTTGGGGAATTGAAAAAAAAAGAGGGTGAGATTTTCACTAAATTAGATAAGTGGCGGTATTTTCAATTGAGGAGTTTTGTTGGAAGTTTGCCAAAACCTTTAAGGACAAGAGACAACTGGAACTTGTTTGAAAAGGTTTTGGGTACACAAGGTGATGGGAAACACGGGATTGCTAAGGTATATAAAATACTCACAGAACTAGATATAAATACAAAGCCAACATATATAATAAAATGGGGAAACTGACATGGGAAGTGTGATAGATGAGGAGAAGCAGAGGAGAATATATAGATTAACCCACGAAAACATTTCTATGAGAGAAGTAGAGATGAACTATAAGTGTTTGACAAGATGGCACATTACACCAAATGTTGAAAATAAGATGTGTAAAGAGAGTTCACCGTGGTGTTGGAGGGGATGTGGTGAAATAGGTACAACATATCACATATGGTGGGGCTGCCCAAAAATTCAGGTATTCTGGAAAACAATAACCCAATTGATAAGAAAAATAACAGAAATAGATATTGGATTAGACCCAGAAGTGTGTATTTTGCATAACATGGACATATCAGTCAATAAATATAAAAAATCAGGGATATGGTGCTACATTAACGCTGCAAAAGCTCTGATACCCAGGTTTTGGAAGCAAATAGAAGTACCGAGGGTAGAAGACTGGATAGAAGGGGTTGAGCAGATAAAAAAGATGGAAAGGTTGTGCCATGTCCAGGAAGATAGGATGGAGATTTATAATAGGAAATGGGGGAGAATTGGGAAAAAGCTAAGTTATACATGAAATATAGGAAAGATTAAAGAAAATAATAGGAAAACTGCACTTGCTGAGATAAAATGATGTAGAGAAAAGGAAAAGCAGGAAGATGGGATTTGGGTGAGGGTGGAGGAGGGGGGGGGAAATTTGGAATAAAGTAAATAAAGTAGAAATGTTGGATACTATGGTGTATAGATATATATATAAGTTTGTATATCATGATGTTGAAAAGTATTTAAAATGAAAATCAATAAATATTTAAATTATAAAAAAAAAAAAAATACCACCAAAAGAAAGCTCTAGTTGTGTGAAGAAAATGATAAAATTTTAATTTGGGTACAATGTTGTATGACCGCGCAATTGTCATTCAAAGTGTGAGAGCACTGAAACCTAAAAAATGGCCTGGGAGGGAGGGGGGAAAATTGCCCGGTATTGAATTGGTTAAAGTACAAAGCTCTTGTACAATCACATAGCAAAATCAATGTTTTGGAACCGTCAGGGAAGCTTCCTCAGGCATGTGATGGAAGGGTCCCCCTGCACACCCATATGGAAGAAAAATATATTTGAAATGTATTTTTAAAATATTCTTCCCAAACATATTTGAAATGATACAATCTTGGGGGACGGACACACACACTAAAAAAATACATTTCAAATATGCTGTAGGTCTCTAAAAATACAAATCTACATTTTTGGAATGCATTTACAAATATATGTAAAAATATATGTTAAAATGACTTTTTTATGTTACAAAAAAATATGAAGAATATATTTAAAAAAATATACTTTTAAACATACTGTATATTTTTTAAATAAATTCTTCAGATTTTTTTTTAACTTAAAAAAAAAGTCATTTTAACATATATTTGTAGATATGTTTGTAAATGCATTCCAAAAATTTGTAATTTTAGAGACATACAGCATATTTGAAATGTATTTTTTAAAATATTTTGTAATAAAAACGCATTTCAACATGCAGTGTATATATATATATATATATATGAGAGTAAGGAGCAGAAGTAGTATATATATATATATATATAACTATATTTTGAAATATATTGAATACAGCCAAAATTGTAGCATTTCAAATATATGGCAATATATTTGGGAAGAATATTTTAAAAAATATATTTTTCTTCCATGTGGGCGGTCCCGAAACGCTTCTGTTTTATGTGATTATACAAGAGTAAGGATCTTTGCACTCTGAAACAAGCTTGTTGGTGTGCTGGCGACACCCTGTCTCTTATCCATGCTTTAAACCATGATCAGTTGGGGGGGTCATTGCAGCACCTTTTTAAACATATGGTCATTTCCAGTATGGTGTGCAAAAGGAATATACTCCCTGTCAATATACGGGGAATCTGGTCAGTATTTGCATTATTACAGAGCCCTGACCTCCAAGGCTTTTGGGGTGCTCTAGGTCAAAGCTGAACTGTCTGGAGAACAACTTGTTTAATCCCACTTACCAGGATTTCAGGTTTTCTTTGAAAGTAGCTGAACATTTTTTCCCTTACTCCTTTCACTTTTCTCGACCTTCCTGATTAATGATCGCTCAATGCTGAATAAAAATAGCATTATTTACAATGATGGATGGCAACAACATTTGTGTCTGATAACAAATACATTAAGGTATACTTTATCAATACTCTCACAATCTTTCAACCTAAGGACCTAAAACATGGACTAGTTATTAATATGCCAGAATGTGAAACTTTTTATGTTGGTGAGAACTCTGCAATTGAAAAGTTCTCACCTCCACCCACAAGCCATGGCAATTACAGGGAGAGTCTCCAAGGGTGATGTCCCAACCTAGAGTAAAGTATTATATGTCTAGGCTCTTAGGAACCTGGGGCACTATTCTTTCCAGGAAAGGAAAATTTTTCAAGCGTATGGAGTTACAAAGAAAACAAACATACTGTGATGGGAGTAACTTTGGGTGGGGGGCCCATGGAACACAGCTCACTCTGGAGAGGTGGGGTAGACCCCTGTCTCAGCTCCCCATATCCATATTATGTGTAAGTCACCCTGTGCCTGTTAGGGGTGCAGGGTGATCTGTCCTAATATTGGGGTGGGGGGTTGTTGATTGTTTAATGCCATGTGGTTGCATTCCACTGTTCTATTGTGTGTCTTGCTTGGGAGCAAACTATTATGGGATGTACTGTATGTGTTTGTGTATTGGCTTGGTAGGGGGGGTTGTTTCCATCAGCCCTCCCTCCTGATGGGACTGTCTGCTGGTGTGTCTCTTGTTACTAAAAGGTAGATTGCCCCGCCCTGTGTCATTATGCAGGGAGGGGGGGAGGTTGTTCCCTTGAATGTATATATCTTGTATCTGTTTAAATAGTCTATTTCCTGGTTTACTTCAAGATTGGTTTCATCTAGTCTTGTATGGTCTGCTGTGGTGTCTCTGGTCAGTGTTCGGACAGGGGAAGTGGTGGTCTAACGGAAATAACCAAGTGCAGTCAGAGTCCGGTTCCGTTACACAGACTCATCTCTAAACTGAAGCTATTCCCGCCAACTCTTATGCAGGCCATGCATGGTTCGAATTTGGACTTAGGAATAAAATCAGGCGATTTTCGCTCTGTTAGTTGGGCAATGGCATCGGCCAATTTTCGTGGTCCCTCCCCATTTCGTTTATCGGGCATGCTGGAAAATTTGTGAAAAACAACCGATGTTCGAAATCATTGGTGGCACCATTGGATTACAGAATGAACGGCGTTTCGATTTTCGGAACAAAAAATTGTTCGGAATTCGAACCATGTATGGCCTGCATTAGCCTGAGAACTTATCGATCACATGACCACTGGAGTGCTGGATGGGAGCGGTTGTCTCAGGCTCTCAGAGGCTGAGCCAGCTGCCAATCAGCCATCTGGGTGTATCCCTGACATTGTTTTCGGGATCCTTCCAGAGCCTGAAATAGCTCTGTGACGTCAGCAGAATTTGGCCTGCTGTCAGATGACTCTTGGTCACAGGAGAACACAAGTACTGTAAGTGCACATGCTGACCCACAAGACGAGTATGACCTGACTTTGGTCAGCTGTCTCTTTTAAAACCTCTTTAGTCATTTATCCCAGCAAGACTTGAATAGCTTGTATGTATAAAGGAGAACTCTAGACAACATTTATATGGTTTAGAGAAGTCTTTGGGATCATGTTTTTATGGATGTCCCCCATTGGACAGGATCCACTCACTTCCTGTCCCAGTGCCATGGGTCATTAAGACAAGAGCTTTCTCCAGTGGGGACACATACAACAACAGAAAACAAAATCATGTTTTTACCCTACATCATGTTGGACTTGCAGCCAGGAAATAAGGCAGGCTTTTTAGTCCTCATGCATGCAGGATGTTTTTACAGCGGCTGTTTCTGGCTTTTGACCTTTTTTGTTTTTTTTACAGCCAGTAAACCCCCCAGCATGTTTTCATATGTGTCCATACACACAGACTGTAGTCAACATTTTTTGGCAGGGATGTTTTTTGGCTGGAAAAAAAAAACCTAGGACTAGTGAGTTTCTAGAGGAGTATTTTAGCTGTAAAAACACTCTAACAATGAAAAATGCAGTAAAATGCCGCAAACCGGTGTTTTTGGACTTATTTTGACCCAAAAAATTGTTTTTGGGTAAAAAAAAAAAAAAAAAAAAAAAAAAAAAAAAAAAACGCTGCTAAAAGCTAATGCAAAAAAAGCTGAAAAACTCACATTTTTAACGAGACATTACACAGCTAATGTTACCAGCGTCATGAAAACACGCCGTGTGCAAGGAGCCTTATGAATTGTTGCAGTCTGCAAAACTGTGCAAGACTGAAGGGAAGGTTGGAGCTTACATTAAAAAGAGACTCTTCAGTCTTTGGAAAAAATAAAAATAAAAAAACAGCAGCTACAAATATTGTAGCGGCTGACTTAATAAATGGACACTTACCTGTCCAGGGATCCAGCAGCACTGTCCTCATCCAGGCCGGTTCCTTGCCGGTCTCTGGGTACCTGGCACCAGTATGTTTAGTGTGGGAGGCCAGTTATGACTCCTTGCAGCTTCACAGCCGGCTTTCCCACTGCACATATGCAAGTTATGCTGCGCTAGGTGAACAGTCTTGCAGTCTCTTTGGACCTGTGACATGTCCAAAGATTGCAAACGGGCCGGTGGTGGGTACAGATGACTTCTGGTGGAATCACTTAGGTACCGTTTCAGGGGTCAGAGACCACCTGATATCGGACTGTTGCTGCCTTGTCAACTGCAAGACCTCACATATTGTCAACCAAATCCCAAGCGTACGTACTACCGCTAAATAATAGAGTCCTATAGCAGACAGACTGCATTGTGATCAGTGAATCAAATCCACTAAGATGTACACTCCAAGATGTGTTTGGAGATCCATGCAACCAGCTACCTGTCATTGATTTGAACAGGCTGCCTACATGCAACACCTGTGCATCCCATGCAGGTGAAGATGGGCGCTCGCATGGGTGTACAGTTCAGTACAGCCGTGCAGGGGGCGGACTGACAACTCATGGGGACCCCAGGCAATAGGGGTTCATGGGGCCCCTGGGTCGTAGCCCACACCCAAAAAAGCCTATGAAAAAGCCAATGAAAGGTACCAGGGGCATCTCATGGAGCCCCCTACTGACCCCGGGCCCTCGGGCAGTGCCCAAGTGCTCGAATGGTCAGTCCGCCCCTGCACCTGTGTGAAAGAGGTCTAATGCAGGCCATAGACGGTTCGTTTATTGGCCGATTTTTCATCCGAAAGAATAATAGGCCGATTTTCGCATGGTTAGTGGGGCAATGGCATCGGGCAATTTTCGCGGTTCCTCCTCATTTTATCAGTCATGCTGGAAAATTCGTGAAAAACGTCCGATTTTTTAAATCATTGGTGGCAACATCGGATTACAGAACGAACGATGTTTCTTTTTCCGGGCAAGAAAAAAAAGGAAACGCCAATAAACGAACCGTCTATGGCCTGCATTACCCCTGGTTCACATATGTGCGTTCCTGTGGGCCGCGTTTTGCGCAGGCACGAGAGTCCATTTATTTGAATGGACTCCCGTGCACTGGGACACGCAGGGAAGAATGGGGACCTCGGTTTCCAGTACGGTTGCGATTTCCAGAGCGGGCGGCGTACCATTAGAATTAATGGCACCCGCCTGTGGGTCTGCATTCTTCTGTACGGGTGGTGCGGCTGCATGGATTTTTGTGCAGATCTGCAGCGGCACCACCCACACAGATGTGACCCTAGCCTAAAGCTTTGAAAATAAAAGCTAGAAACCGATTGGTTGCCATGCACAGCCACCCTAGATTCTGGCTGCTTTTGATAAGTTCCCCTCATTGTGAGCATGCAGCATAATCTGTATTCAGGCTTCAATGGTTATCTATTGCTCTTTGCACTTTATCAAGTCTCTCACATGCTTTTGAATCATGCTTTCTATAGAACAGATAATGGGATGTATGCAAGAGTTCAAAGGATTAATAACTCATATGGCTAAATTACATTTACAGTTCCATTCGACTTCAATTAGAACAAAAAGTTAGCTTGGTGCAGACCATTATAAAACCTATACTACAGAAAATAATTCATAGATAAATATGTAATAGTTTCAGTATATTACAGGAAAACATTTCAAGTGAAATTATAGGCTTCTTTTTTTAATGTTCCTTAGATCTGCACATACATGTGATCGGCTTGATAAAAATAATGTAGACTAGAACCCCCATATTTATTTATTTATTTTTAATCTGTGACCTATAGGGGAAATTCCACTTCACTGTCTCCAGTGAATCAGTATTTCCCAAAAGATTTCCCCTCAACAAAAATTACAAGCAAACCAAAAAAAACATTAAAATACAGTTTATTAAAACACACAACAAATACATTTTTTTGGAAAAGAACCGACCGTTCACAAATGACAGAGATATCTGGAATGTGCAGAATTTAGGTGAATGACATTAATTGAATACATTAAATTATTTGAAATTAATATTTAAACTTTCAGCAAGTAAACATTTAGAATTGTACTGTTAACAAGAACTGAAAGGACGTACGACGTGACATTGTAACATGCTTTTCATTCTGTATGACAGATTTACCTCCTAGGGGATTCTTTACTCCAGGGTGGTGCAGTAACACACACACACACAGACACAGACACAGACACACACACACACACACACAGACACAGACACAGACACAGACACACACACACACACACACACACACACACACACGTTTAAAAATTGCTGGTATTGTGTATTACCCATTTGCTGCCCGCTCTATGGCCAAAAGGTGGGCGGCAAATGTCATTTGCGTTCTGGGTGGACGCCATATGGCGTCCTCCTGCACATGCGCAGATTGCGCTCCTGCAGAGCAGCGCGATTTGTCACCGGCCGTGTACCTCGGACACGGCCGATGACAGATCTGAGTATCGGTCCCGTTGCCGGTACCATGTGACCTGCTGTGACCAATCACAGCAGGTCACATGACAGTTGTATACAATGGATGGCTTCATTCATGCCATCCATTGTATACCAGTGTCTAGCTGTGAATGGTGTACAGCTAATCACATGCACATGTCATGTGATTAGCTGTGGCCAAATCACAGCTAAGCACAAAAAAAAAAAAAAAAAAAAAAAAAAAGCCCTGATTGAATCGATGTCATTCAGGTAAATGCTTGCTTATAGCAAAGTAATTCTTTGCTATAAGCAAATTGTGTAAAGAAAAAAAAATACTGATCACTTCCCCAAAGTAGTACAATGTTACTATGGTAACATTGTACTACTTTGGTCATAGTGAAATATGAAAAAAAAAAATCTTAAAAAAAAGAAACAAAATGTAATTAAAAATAAAAATAAAAAAATATATATATATATATATATATATATATTTTTTTTTTTTTTTTTTTTTTTTTTTTCTCCATACTGTCACCAGTCAGTGTCCCTGATCACCACCATGCCAGTTATATGATGACGCTGTACTGCACTGGTGACAATATGTCACCAGACTTTCATCTTTCTTTCATTTTCCGAAAAATTATGACAAAAAAATACAACTTCAAAAAACTCGCCATGCCTCTTATGAAGTATGTCGGACTGTCTACTCGGCAAAAAGGGGTCATTTGGGGGATATCTGTACTGTTCTGACATTCTTGGACCTCAAGAAATTAGATTGGCTGTCAGTACTTCAGGATTGATCAATATTCAGATCTATACCATAGTTTGTGAACTCTATAACTTTCCTACAGACTAAATAATACATCCTAATTTGGGTTATTTTCACCAAAGACATGTAGCAGAATACATCTCGGCCTAAATTTATGAAGAACAATTATTTATTTGCAAACTTTTAAACCAGGAACAAAGAAAAAAATTTTTTTCAAAACGTTTGGTCTTTTTTTGTTAATTTAGCAAAAAATGAAAACCCCGCCAGTGATTAAATACCACCAAAAGACAGCTCTAGTTGTGTGAAGAAAATGATAAAATTTTAGTTTGGGTACAATGTTGTATGACCGCGCAATTGTCATTCAAATTGTGAGAGCGCTGAAACCTGAAAACTGGCCTGGGAGGGAAGGTGTAAAATTGCCCGGTATTGAACTGGTTAAAGCAAGTTGCATTAAGGCAGCCCATTCATTTTTAACAGGATGTCAAATCACCACAATGAACCAAAGTCGCACCACTGCATAGGAATAATTGTCATCTGTGGCGTGCTGCAATGCGAGTGTGCTTGGGAATGTGCATTGCAGTGCTGCTGAAAACAAAATGGCACAACACCAATTGTACCTTACCTGCGCTTTTCAGCAATGTGCGCCTAGCTGCAAAGCTTTGGTGTGAAGTCAGCCTTAGTGGCTGCCCCTATACTTGGGAATTTGATTAGCATCTCTGCTGAAGAACTGCTGAGCTCAGTTAGCCACGTATAGGCCAACTATAAAGCAGTGGTATGAGAACAGTGCTGTGCTTCACAAATTTGCTTTCCTATGGGACTCTAAAGCAAACAAAGCTCCATCCATTTTAATGGATAGGGAAAAAGTGCTGGAAGGAGAAGAAACCTGTCACATGACAAGGCTCTCCTTTTCCAGAGTGTCCTCTGCAGAAAAGCATGGGCTGTATTTACTGCAATGTCCTGCAGAAAAGTGGTTCCTGCTCGGCTATAAACAGGGCTCATAGAGTCCATTACTTTGGGTCTATCTGACCTGAATGGCAGTTTAGCATTGAGAAACAGAATAGTGAAGCACAGCCACCATGCAGCACTGCTGAGCAGGAACTACATATGTAATGGGCAAAATATGACTGCACCCATTGCTTATATTATTATTATACAGTATTTATATAGCGCCAAAGGGTATGCTCAGCGCTGTACAGTAGCAAGGGGGACAGAACATGAGACAAGACAGTAACAATACAATACACGAGGGGTTCGAGGGCCCTGCTCTTTCGAGCTTACAATCTAGGAGGGAGGGGAAGGTGGCACAGGAGGAGATGGCTGTGGTGGGAGGAGTGGAGGAGGTTAGTTGTTAGGTGAGGTCAGGTGTTAGGTGAGGTTGGAGTAGGCTTCCCTGAAGAGGAGGGTTTTCAGGGTGCGCCTGAAGGTGAGGAGGGTCAGTGACAGTCTGATGGATTGGGGTAGGGAGTTCCAGAGGATGGGGGAAGTCCTGGAGAAGTCCTGCAATCGGGCGTGGGAGGAGGAGACCAGGGAGCTAGAGAGCAGGAGGTCCTGTGAGGAGCGGACATTTCAAACTACAAGCTCATTAAGCACACATTGACAAGATAATAACAATGTAGTATAAGACCAGCAAATGTTCTTTTATTGTTTTCTACAGAACGTTTAGAGAACCTCTATCAGGTTTCTACAATCATGTTGGGGTGATTTCCCCCTCATTTCCTGTCCACTATAAACTAGACAGGAGACCTAAGTGTCCGCATTAGGCACGCTTTCAAGCAGTCACCATTTAAAACACACCTGCATTCAGAAAACATTAAAAACGTACATATTAAGGAATGTAGTTAAAGTTCATTTAAAGATACCAAAAAAACAAAAATCTACCCAGACAGACACGCTAGTGGCCAACCACATGATCAGTCCCTAAGGCACTGGTCATGTGATCCTTGCCGGAGGATCTTACACTGCTTATTATTAGGCACAAGTAGCAGATGTGTCTATATTAAGCAGGCCATAGATGGGTCAATAATCGGATGATTTTTCGGCCGAAAAAAAAAGACGCCGATTTTCGGATCGTTAGTGGGTTAATAGGTTGGCCGTTTTTTTTCGGGATTTTGGAACATTTTTTTTTAATCGGTAAAGTTGGAAAACAAATCGGCCTATTTTGCCGATCGGCCAATTTTGACGGCAATGATCGGTAAATCGGCCATTCTTTTTACCGATAAAAAATATGCGCATGAGCCGTGACCTGCAAGAAAAAGAAGTAGAAAGAGAAGAAGAAAAAGAAGAGGAAAAAGAATTCCAGTCCGCTTTTATATTTGACATTAAAAAGTATAGCGGTTGCAACATTGTATCTATTTCGGATACAGATGTTTTTATTTGGATACAAACAGATACAATGTTGCAATCGCTATACTTTTTAATGTCAACTATGATAACAGAGCTCTCTGCGGGGAAGAAGTAATACTCCGCTATTATATTTGCCGGCCGTAGACGGGACGAAAATCGGCCGATTCTTTTACCGTTGGTGGTAACATCGGCCGATTGAACAAC